AAAAAAATAACAAAAAAAAAAAAGATGTTTACATACTGAGAAAACCAAAAAAAAAAAAAAAAAAATCAAATAATAAATAATATAACATAACAAATATATTAAAAATTTAAAATAAGTAACAAAAATTAAAAAATTAAAAATTAAAATAATATAATGGTAATTCAAATTATTAATTAAAAAGTTAAAAATAATTAATTACAATTTAGAATTTTTAATTATAACTAAATAAATATATTATTATTTATAATAACAAATCTATTATTAATTAAAATTAATATTTACATTATATTAGATTATAACAAATAAGTTTTTTTTTTCTAAATTGCTGGTCTTAATTTTGATTTAATTATTATTATGGCTATTACTATTTATATTATCTACAACATATTTGCCAATCAATTATTTTGTTATACAAATTTTTAACAAATTTTTTAAACTTTTTTTTTTATATTGATATATAATTTCATATTAGACATTGTATTGTATATCACATTGTATCTTATTTTATTCTATCATTTCTTATGTTAACAATAATTAAAAATTCTAGTTATTTAAGAATATTATAACATGAAATAATTAAAAAAACCAGATAGTATTTATTAACCATTGATTACCATACAAGTGTAAAGTAATACTTATAGGTAATGAAGTAATACTTATAGGTATTATCTTGAAAATCAAGTATTATAAAAATTATCTATGGGTATTTCAAATAATATGTATTTGAATAATATGCTTTTGGCTTGAATTAAGTTTAATTTATATCAAAATTTAAAAATCTCTATTTCAAAATAACATATATGGGCATATTTAAAATTACACACAAATGATTGCTATTTCACATTTATATGATACATAGTATTTAAAGATCAAATAGCATTTATATAGTTTATTTAATCTTTTATTCTTCTTATTCTTTTTATTTTATTTCTTCTTATTCATTTTATTTTATTACTTTTACCTACTTATAATTGAAAACATGTGTATAAGCAATGCAAATGCAATTAAGCAAAGTCAGATCTGAAGAACTGAAGAATAGAAAGAGTTAAGAGTAAGAACTCAAGTAGTACGAGCATATTACAATATAAAATGAATTATGTTTACAACTTATCAAATCTATAAAAACCATGATACAATACATGTATTTCTATTAAATAAAAAAGCATTGCAACTCAAAATTTATGTATTTCTAATTGAAAAGCTACTTTATTATTCTTGTTAAATTATCATTCAACCATTCAATAGGGCAAACTGGATTAAAGAGCAATCTATGCATTATGTCGATGATGGCTACCATGAGAACAATGCATCCAATGTATTGTGCACAGAAAATGACTGGATTGTGACTGCAGTGAATTCTTACAACATTTCACACGATTACCTTCTCGATCTTTGTGATTATGTGACGCTTTCAATGTTTTTAATTCATAAAGGTACAGGTATGTATCGTTCCACAGGGAGAGGTCTTAAAATAAAAGTAGGAAATTATCAATCGGAGAATGTCACTCGTCCATAAATCAAAAATGTAATACAAACGCATATATTTGTTATAATTTACAAGAAAAATATCAGTAAGCCTTGTTATTAATGTTATTATCTCCTCAGAACTTTGTTTCGGAAAAAGGACTTTGTAGGATGAAAAGAATTTGAACAAAATTCCCTGCATCATTGTACATGTAACTCAAGATGCGAAGTGCATTACAATAGCGTAAAAAGAAAATGTTTGCCTCACAATTTTACACTTTTTCCTAATATAGTAACAGCAAATGATACGAACTCAACAAATCGTGACGAGTCGATTTTGATCTCTTCATATGAAGAAAAAAGAAATGCCAACTTATCAGGCTATCAGTTCTTCAAAGAGAAAAGATTAAAATAGACAGTTTTCTGACGAATTCCTGTATTCTTGTTTTAACTAACAACATAACGCAAAATAAAATATTAAAATAAAATAATTTAATGCATGTCAAAGTAGAAACACGACTATTTATTAATAAATACAGTATTGAGTAATATTTGTAAATATAAGAACCGCATACGTAGATTTGTCCTGCTATCCGGATTTTCTCATATCATCAACATATTAATTATTTAAGCAAAAAATGTCGACACTACTATCTGCCCAACCCTTAGAGCAATGTAATCTAACCTCGTTAGGAGCATTCGAAAACCCTGATATCATAATTGCCAGAAATTCATTGAATACGGTGACCAAGAATTTGGAAGAATTCAAATATAATCGTGATTTGTGTTCTAAAGGATTGGAGATTGCACAAAAGAGTAAACAAGTTTTAGATAAATTTGATAAGTTAAATAAAAGGTTTTCTAATTATCGACAGGATAATGAAGACAATATCCACACTAATTCTACGACAACTGAAAGTATCACGATCACACCTGAAACAGTCGAAAGTAACGTCGGAACTAACACGCTTACAATTCACAAGAATCATGTTACTACGACTAGTAATAATATAAATGTGGAAGATAAAAACGAAGACCGGAGTAAAACTTTTCGTCCAAACTTAAAACCACTTGATATCCAATCTTTATCCCCACAGCAGCTAATCATCACATCTCCGAATATGCAGTCTCCATTAAAATCTCCCAATTCTGGTGTACTTGAAAGATTTATTGAGAACAGTAAAGAATTTCAAAAATTCATTGATTGTCTGTGGAATGTTTCCATGTTTTTTGGTTATTCGGCGAAGGTTAATGTCGAAAGTCTTGAGGTAAGAGTTTATAGAACGTAACTTGTTATCGTTTATTACACTTTAGGATTTATTTATTTATTTTTAAACAGGTGCAAAATGAAATTGCAAAATTAATTGAAGAATGGAGCACCGCTACTGATCATTTATACAATGCTATCGAAAATTGGAAATCAAAACGTCATGGATGGAACAACAATATCAAGGCAAAGATTAAAGCCTTTTCCAAAATTTCAACCATTATAAAAAGCATATCTTTACCTTCTGCAAAACATAAAACGGAGAATTACAAGATTCCCGCAGAACGATTGAAACCTGCACATACGAATGATTTCAAGTCGCAGAAACATGCATTTTCCGAATTCAACGCCACAGAGAACAACCCTATAATAAGAGGAAGTAGAAACCATATTCGACAATATTGGTTCCTGGGATTCAGGAGGGTAGCAGAGAAGAATTTGGAAACTTTTGATATTAAAGATAAAAGTATTGCAGAGTTGAAAAAAGAAATTGGTTTCATGAAAGAATTAAACGAACAAAATTTTCGTCTCTTGGAATTGTAAGTGTTTTTCATGAGAATTTATTTATCCTATCTTTCCACTGGTTTTCATTTAAATATATAATAAATCAATTCCTTTAGTTTAGGGTATTGTCAACGTTCGGATAGTGTTTCGGTAATCTGCGAATGGGTAGATTATAACCTACAAACCTATCTCGCTGATCACGTTGACATGGTTTGGGATGAAAAATTGAACATTGCTTGTGGAATCGCCGATGCATTAAAATTTTGCCACTCAAAAAATATATTACATTATGATGTTAGAACGTAAGCATATGCATCTCTGTCTTATATTATTACAACGTGAATATAGATGCTTACCATGTATCACCTTCCAGCGAAAATGTGTTGCTAGACCAAAATCTTCAACCAAAGTTATATAATTTCCGAATTAAAAGGAATTCGCCGGTTATGTTAATTTCCGCGGATGCACCGATCGAAGATCCAAGTTATAGTTCTCCGGAGAGGCTTAAGGGTATGACTTGCAACAAAGCCAGCGAGGTTTATAGGTAACGTGAATATTTTCAAATACATTATAAATGTTTTTCGATATGCGTACTTTTTCATAAAAATATGATTTATTAATTTAGTTTTGCCATGGTGTTGTGGGAAATTCAACATCACATGAAACCCTATACTGGTCTAACTTCTAACCAAATATCCACGAAAATTATTGCCGGTGAGCATCCTGAGTCTGATCCTGTAACCGGAACACCCGAGGAATTCCAGCGTATAATGGAAGATGCATGGTCGCTTTCGCCCGGAAAACGTCCTGACATGCAGATTTTACATAATAGGCTTGAAAAACTGGATTTTGAATATTTAACTATCCAGAGGGTAAAACTAATTGGTGTTAAGGAGAATGACGATACTAATGAATATGTCTCAAACAATTCGATTATGGAGAGTCGAGGATTTGGTGAGAAGTATAACCCGTTAATTGAGAAAGCACCAGAAATTGAAAGGGGAATTCAATTCCATAAGGAAGGGAAATACCAAAAGCGTGGGAAATATTTCAGGAATATGAAAATCGTTCCCACGATCCGGAAGCAATGTATTGGGTTGGACTTTACTATTTGAAGGGTTACTACGATGGAGGAAACAAGAAACCCAAACCAAAAGAAAGCGTACAATACCTTAGCCGCGCAGCGAAATTAGATCACACCGAATCACAAGTCTTGTATGCTATTACAATGCTAAATTCTCCATGGGCGGCTAAAGAGCACGACAAAGATCGATACAAGTATGCAATTATTTATTTAAGAAAGGCAGCAAGGCAAAATCACCCAAAGGCATTAAAGACCTTGGGAGGAATTATTATAAAAGGACAGTTTAACCAAAAAAGAGATGTTTTCATGGGTAAGGCGATGATTGAGAAATCCCGGAAATTTCAATTGTGATCTCAAGAGATTTAAATGTAAAAGAATGAAACGAAAAAAAAAACACCAGCTCACTCTCACATTGTTCGTAAACTTATCCATTATTTAAGAGATGTTGTATATACAGTATATATAATTTACTATATTCTTCGGTTAAGGTATCTAGGAAGCATGAGTAACGGTAACGCGATCTTCGCCACGTGATCAGTATTCACAGGAACAATTGTGAGATCTAACTTGAAAGAATGCCATAGGGATTATAACACAATCGAAATGAATTATGTAATATGGCGACAATATGTTAGTCTATTATATAAAGGTTTCGCCGTGATTCTATTATTTTTAGCTTTTTCTTTTTTTTATTTATTTCATTTTCTCCATTGTCATTTATTATATGATTCCTTGAATAATTGTATATAGAAAGACCAATCTAATAAAATAAAGATAGTTTTCTCAGTCAAATTAATTAATAAAATCTCTACTGTTACGCAAATCTGAGCTAACTTTAGCGACAGACTTACCAATCACCTACACTAGATAATTAATGATGATACCTGAACAGGTAAATTTTTTAAACCGCAGACGTGTAAAGTACACATAGTACATATATATATTTAATTGTATTGTATTTAAAAAAAACAACCTTTCGTAGCTATTTTTTTATCATAAAATTTATCGAGAATTATATTTTCGTTGCATATATGCGTACTTTAAACCAAAACTACGGATATCTTCATCAACTATAACAACTTCAAATTTTTATGAATTTTAATAGCTAATATTACTTTTTAAGTTTAATATTATTGTTAAAAAAGTAATAATTTTGAATCGCATGAATGGGTACCTATTTTAAGATCAAGAGATTAATAAGATCATAAATGGAATGCTTTATTAAACGAAAAATAAACGAAAAATAAACGTTACAAGTATGATGAATTTATTTCTAAAAAGAAAATCCCAGCATCAATGATATTCATTCAAAAATTATCGTTCTTAATGTACAGTATATATCTACTTGTAAAATTTTATTTGTAATTTTAAAATAAATTAAATTGTATCAGATGCCTCCTTTATGAATAATATGGTTTCATGTATGCGATAAGTAATGCAACCTTAGTTAATGCATATTGTATTATATTCGCTCCTTGCAAGCATGGAAAAATCTTTTGTGATGCTTGCGACGCACGTGCCAACACTTTATATGATTACGTAAAAAAATTGATTGTTTGGATAGCGTAAACACCGTAAACACCGTATTAAATTCTCACAATATGGCAAAGTTATTTCGTTGATTTGATTTGAAAGTTGCGAAATATTTGAGAAAATTTTCTTGGTAATATAAAAATAGCATTTATAATTGGAAATTCTCGATGAATTCGATTTTAAGAGAAAATCCACTTCGGATTTTATTATGCCGAAGCTTTACCTTTCATCTATATACAATATATTAAATTAATATTGACATTATGTGTGCCCATGAATTTTCTGAAACATACTGAAGAAGTTTCAAACACAAATAACAAATACTGTAAATATAAAGAAAAAAAAGCAAGAATGCATTGATATACGTATTTGACGATACTTGTGCACCATTAAAGTAACCGATTTGGGTTTGAATGATATACACTAAAATACACAAAATTTATAACGCCATACAGATTTCCTATGGTCACGGCTTTGTGAATCCCTTTATAGCAATCGAGATTTGATGCATGCAAAAATTTTCAACTCCTTTTTTGATAAAGAAACAATCTCCATAACTTTGTATATATACAAAGATCATAATAAGTAATTTAACAAAGAAGCAATTTATACATTGTTGACCTTAACACCTTTCATTACATTTAATTTCAGACATTTCAGATCATGTTGTTACGAACCCTGATTTCTATAAATCTATCATATAACGCAATCTTCCTCTCTCATATACTCATTCCTACCTACATTATACAATGAAACCTCTAGTGATCCCCGTTGTTGAAGAAAAATTTTCTCTTGAGAAATTAAATTACTTTAATCCCAAAAGTATATTCGACGCGGATTGGAGTCTGGACCTCCACGGATATCTCACACGCGACGAGTTCGACACTAGACTTGCGGAAATTAACCATGCTATTCGAAACGTCCCACTATTGAGCAAGAGAATAAGGACTTTCACTGATTGGAGTTATGGCATAACCACTTCTGTCATGACTTTTATTTTCCTTGGAGGTCTTTTCACAGGTGGATTTCGCACTGGCCCCATAGTCAGTTTTGTACTTGAAGTTTTGTTTAGTTTGGGGTACATTGCGATCAGACTTTTGGTCACTAAGCTAACGGAACGACGCGCCAAAGAATTCACGGATGCCTTGAACGTATTGTTTAAACAGTATAATTATCAGGATAACCCAACAGCAAATTGGAAACTTGCGTGGCGCCCCGTTATTTCTCATATTAACATAAAGATGAAGTCAACTTCGATTGGAAACGTTGGTGGAAAAGCCACTCCAAAATATGCCTCGCAAGCAGAAATTATACTTGAAATCAGTGATTCCCTTTCGGATCTTACAGCAAAAACCGTTCATTTCAAACTTCCGCCTCAAGTCATTCGTGAGATGACTATAAGTACATATTAGTAAATACTTTTAGAAAACACTTTAGAAATACCTTGAGTTTCTTATTTAATATCCTTATAATATAAATTTTATCAAATCATGTATCAATATTGTATCTATTCACATTGCTACTATTAATAATCACGTATAATTGAATTTTTTAAGCTAGACTTAAAAAATCTCACTTTGCATATACCTGTGTAGTAAAAATCTTTAAATAAACAGCATTTTTTTTTTTTTTTAAAAAAAAAAAAAGAATCAAGTCAACATCGATATATTTTATTTTATTTGTCTTTATCATTGAGACAACATTAAAGTGTTTGTTGAAAATATTAAATTTATGAGAATACATGTTAAATCTTGTAAATCTTGAGTAGAATCAAATATTTGAAATTTGGTTTTGATATTTCTATATCATGATCTTAAAATTTAGTATACTAGACAAAGTATAACCAAATAATTACAGTAAATATAATAATTCCAATATTTTACATAAACATAATTCGTCATAATTTATTTCATTAAAACTTTATTTTTTCTGATAATACACTATTCTTGAAATTAAATCAGATAAATTATACTACTGTGTATATTATTTTATTATAATTGCTTGATTTTATTTTATTTAAAAATTTATTTTAATTAAATTTTTAAAATATAACAGTACTACTGTAATCATACTTTCTGGTTGTTCTTTAAACAAACCATATTATATTAAAAATTTTATTAATCGTTCCTTTACGCTATTAGTAGATGTTTTTAAATATATGAATAAACTATAACTTTATGACTAGACATACTGCATGTAACGTAGCACACCAAACATTTTCGATATAGAGAAAATTAAATTAACCATTAAACCACTTAGTATTACTATTATCATTAAAAAATAAAAGTTAAACTTATCTTTAAAAGGATTAACCGGTAAAATTAAAGAAAAGTTAACTTTACATTGTTCCTTTACTGTAAACTATTGCGCAATACATTTACTGTAACTCGTGGTTTACCATTCATCCCCATTAGTTGTGCGAAATTATTTTACATGTTTGTTGTTTTGGACCTCTTTTAACCTATAAATGAATTGACACTTCCAATAACTGTCAGCATACTCATCACTATAAGGGTGAGAAGTGGCGGGACGGCCACATAAGAGTAAAATAATAATGCCGCCATCTCTTCTTCGAAGGATTCATTTAACTGCGCCAAGTTTATACAACCTATGGCCGTCGGTCCACTAGCGAACAACATTAAGACAAACCAAAGCATCGGATCCTGCATATACCAGGACTTAGTGACTAACACCAACACCACTCCAATTATCGGCATTATGAAAAAACGACAAGCCATTATATAACCAATCGTTGATAATATTTGATTTCCTTTAGAACATTGCATATTTTTTAACTGCGCTCCAAGTGAGATTAAAGTCAGTGGTATCGTTATGGTGCCAATGTATTCTGTGGCCTGAGACAGAACAGAAAAGGCGGCGTCATGACCAAAAAATACGTTCTTGAGCGGTGGTACTGTGCCAACAATCAATGAAATCACAGCAGCGTATAATGGAGGATTCATGACACTCCTAAATATCTTAATATACTTGTTCAATAATCGTTTCGTCTCCGTCCATAATGTTCTCTTTGTTGATCTCAATAGTTGAGTGCTTTCGTCTGGTTGAGAGGATGTCGTTGCAGCGTATGAGGATGATCGAACATAATGAATGGGAGGTAAAGCTTTCGATGGGGTGATTAACGGATCTTCTTCATCGTTTGTACTTTCTTTTTTGAGCAGAAAGGCACCAAAACTCCATCTATAATATTACACAAAGAATAATAAGATTCGCTGTTCGTGTGCTTCTACACCAACACAAATGTCACTCACCTTAACAAAGTCCCAAATAAGACGGCTAGTAGTATGTAAGATTTTCCGCGTTTTATCGACTCTCCCGGTGTGTCTACTTCATCTTTAACTAATAACTCCATCGCACTAGTATTTTCTATGCCTCTTAATAGGCCCAATGGAAGCGAAGTCACATTATTAAACATAATTCCTGTCATAATAAATTTTGTCTTTGCCGACGACAAATTTAGAAATTTTCCGACAAAAAATCCAAGTAATGCACTGATTATCGCAAATATTCCGAAGAAAGTTGGTACAGGCCAAAGTGATATCAACTTGGATATATCTATGTCCGATCCTACTTCTGAGAACAAAAGACAGGGCATCAAAATGTTTATTATTAGTGATGTAATTCCCTATGTTGACGAAAAAAAGTTTCGTTAATCAAAAGAAGTAACGTTTTTAAATAAAGGAAACATCTTCGATGTTCAAAAGGTCCAACCTTCTGTGCACTTGAAGTTATTATTCCATATTTTGCAGCGATGTACCCAGCCACGCACACAAACAGAATTTCGCTACTTGACTATACAGATGTCTTGCGTTAGCACGCTATCAATCGCTCAAAAAACAAATACAAATCATACTAATGATACCTGAAGAGAAGCAATGAATAGCAAATAATAATTCATTTGAGTTCACCAAGTGTTGACAGATAATGTAAGGGCAATAAAATTTATGAACAACACGCAAATGATGCAAGCAATGCTTCTGTTGCAACTTTAAATATATTCATGAAAGACATAAACTGCTGGAAAATCTATTCTGTTTGCAATTTCCTTTCTTAACCACTTTTTTATTGTCTACGTTATACCAATGAATGATCCAATAAATGGATTACATAATGTACCGGATGGCGAAATTTTCAAAATAATTTTAAATATACTGTATATTACGTAAAGATAACTTTTGAACCATTAACAATGGAATGTGAATGTTAAAAATGTAATCTGTATTTATTCCTTAATCTTACATGCCCTTGAGGAATTTTCGGAATCTGGGTCAGTTACTATATAGATAAAATCTATAAAAACGATGGTTTAATCT